CCAGTCAGCCAGCTACAAATCCATCTGGTGGTGATGTTGTCTAACCCACATTTTTCTATCTTGTCAAGTAGTAGGTTGTGGTCTACTTTATCAAATGCCTTACTGAAGTCCAAGTAAATTATATCCACAGCATTCCTCTGGTCCACTAATTTTGTCACTTGGTCAAAGAATGCAATAAGATTTGTCTGGCATGATCTGTTTTTGACAAACCCATGTTGGCTTTTGGTAATGACTTTGTTTGCCTCTAGGTGTTTGCTGATTCGTTGCTTGATTATCTTTTCCAGAATCTTCCCAGGTATTGAGGTCAGGATGATAGTCTGTAGTTTCCTGGATCCATTTCCCCCCCCGCTTTTTTGAAGATGGGAACTACATCAGCTTTTTTCCAGTCCTCTGGTAGTTCCCCAGTGCTCCAGGATCTTTGAAAGATATAGTTCAGTGGCTCTGAGATCACATCTGCCAGTTCCTTCAGAACCTTGGGGTGTAATTCATCTGGTCCTGGTGATTTGAACTCGTCTAGGATGGACAGGTGCTCACTTACCATTTTCTTGCCTATTTTAACTTGTGTTTCTAATCTGTTTTTTACGGTACTGTTTTTGATAAGTTGGACTGTTTTTTCTCTTTGTGTAAAGATGGATGCAAAAAATAGTTATACTTTCTCCCTGTTGCTAGTCACCTTCTTGCCACTTTCTCCCACTAATGGGCCAATCATTTCTTTAACATTTTTCTTGTTTGCTTGAAAGAAGCTCTTTTTTGTTATTTTTGACTTTTGTCGCAAGCCTTATTTCAGTTTGAGCCTTAGCGTTCCTCACTTCATCTTTGCAGGCTCAGGCTATTTGCTGATATTCTGCCTTAGTTATGTGCCCCTCTTTCCACTTTTTATACTTGTCCTTTTTGTCTTTCAATTTATCAGGGAGATCTTTATGCAGCCATACTGGTTTCTTTTGAGAGCTGTTTTTTTTTTCATTGGTATTGTGCTATACTGGGCTTTTATAATCGCACTTTTCAAAATTTCCCAAGCTTCTTGAGGATTCTCATCCATGGAATCCTTCCCAAGCTCTCTCTAAATTTATTGAAATTAGCTCTCTTAAAGTCCAAGACTCTAGTTTGATTGTGTTCTATTGCTTTTGCTTGCATAATGTTGAATTCCAATATTGGATGATCACTCCCCCCCCCCCCAAGGTTCCTGTGGCTTCAACACCTTCTATCATTTCATCTCTGTTAGTGAGAATTAAATTTGTTGATTGTTACTCTTGAAAAACCTGGCTGCTCTTTCTTTATTGTGAAATTCATATAGCATTATATAGACAAGATGATGGTGATGTCCTTTAAATTGCTTTCTATAATGGCCATCTGCATATGGCAAAGTCTTTGTGTATCTACCACATACAATGAGCTATTTCTCAACTTTATTTAAAGGCCTATTGTGGAAAGAATCTGTTGCAGACCATGAGCATTATTAGTTCTACTCAAAAATAGTTATCATAGGAACAATATAGTGAGGTTTATTATGCACAGCAGCCTTTAGTTTTGTTTTATCTCTTGAATTGGACAGATATGAAATTCAAACTAGGGCAAATGGTCAATAAAGAAAGTATTTGGCAAATGGAGAAACCTACATATTTCTGTTAAAATAATTTTCCTCACACAGCATCAAATTATTTCCAGTTGAGAATGCCAACTTATTTTTTATTTTGTTAGAGACACCTGTTGGCTTAATGCAATAACAACTTCATAATGTCCAAGAAACTCATAGCTTTCCATATTTTAATGTTTCAGCATAAAAACATTATATTTTGACTCTTTATATTGTCCGCATAGGTGGATTAATCTTAAATTAGCAGCATGTATGGAAGAAAGAAAATATCTTATCTATAAATAATATAGTCATATACTTTAAATCACGGGTGTTAAACTGATGACATCACGTGACATGTCGCGACATATCGCAACTTTTTTCTCATTGCCGGCAATGGGGTGGCCGTGGTTTTGGCGTGATGCATCTAGCCTCCAGGCTGGCAGTTGACACCCCTGCTTTAAATGAAGATACACTGTAGAATCTCAAATAAGGGAAGAAACATAGAAACATAATATGTAATTATTTATGCACTGAAATGATGTTAATTGCATTACTTTTAATGATTTAATTTTGCTGTATTAGCTTCCTTGATTGGCAAATATAGTCAAATTTAAAGGCTAATTCTTTTTCATCCATTTTCCATCTGCATTATAGATAACAAATTGTTAATTGGCAAAGCCCTAATTCAGGCATGAAATGCAAATCAGGCAGAGACAGTGGAGGCACTAATCTGGCTCAAGTTAAGAGTTCCAAAGCAAAAAAGGTTTTTGAGTGAATTCTCTATTGTAACACTCTAATTATCTTTTATACAACTACTGTATCTCTGCATGCAGACATAATGGGGAAGACTCTTGCAGTAGACCTCTTGAAACATGCCAATGCCATGAGATCACCCATAGAAAATACCAACCGAGAAACCAGAAGAGGAACGTCACAAATAATGTAACAACATTTCCCAACCCCCATAACTGACTCTCTGCTGTATGACTTTTCAACAGAATATCCTGGTCCTCATACATCAATCCAAGTGAGAAGAGGTGCATTGTTAAATCTTAACCTGACAGCTGTAGGCAGCACTGGAGTCACATTCACACATCCCCTTCATATCTGTATCAAACTTTTCAACTCTGTCCACTCAAGAAATATAGTTTGCATTAAATTCAACATAATGTACAGGTCACCAACCTCCAGTCCCTGGCCCATTACTGAGCTGCAGCCCATTGGAAATTGGGCCACGCAAGTGGCAGTAGAGCAAGCGTGCAAAGCTCCATTTGCACAATCAGCCATCCTCTCCCCCCCCACTGATCTGTGAAGCCGGAAAGGTTGGGGACCGCTGACTTAATGGATGTATAATAGTTTAAATCCTTTTAGGATTTGGATCAAGAAAAAATTGACAGAGAAAGATTTTATTGCTGTGTCTACGATGTAATTCTATAATATATGTAAAATAAATATTACAATAGGTTATCTTAAATAATGAGTCAAAATCTGTTAAAAATAAAAACGGGGAGTCAACAGAGGTGCACACAACACTTAGCAAACTTTGTTCCCTCACTAATTTTTAGCTGCTTTCCTCTTCTTTCTCCCTAGAAGCTACTACCCCAATTTTGCACAAAAGGATATCCCTTTTATTATCATTCAAGTTTCTGAATACTGTATATTTAGTATTTATTTAAGTACTGAAGTTCCAATTCTCCAATAATGTGTGCATGTTGAAAAGATTAGGTCTTGGTCTAGATTAGAGTCCCTCTCCTAACAGCTAGCTAGCTACCTCCTGCTCATAGAAGAATTAAGATTTTTTCTAATTCCTTCTTCCTCAGTAGCCACCTTTATTACTTCAGTAGCCACCTTTATTGTTTCCTAATAGTACTGTATAGAGTATTTAAAAAAGTGTTATTCACATTACTGTCAGTAAAACATTTCTCCTCAACATGACTGAGAGCCAGTGTAGTATGGTGGTTATGGTGATGGACTAGTAAAGGCACCCATTTACCCCCATTTATGGGAACTCAGTGGGTGCGCTTGGGCCAGCCACCAGCCTAATCTAGAGACAAACATTAGAAAAATAATCTTGCATTTCTTTCTTTAATAGGAAGCAATACATACCTGTCAGACCTTCAACTCCATTTGATTAAAGCAAAGCGTTCTTTACTAAGTGGTTATAGTCAAGTCAAGTCAGCTCTGAAATCATTGCACTCGCTGGATGCAAAATAAGGTATAGGTTTTCCCCCAGCTCATCCCTCTCTCCATGACCAGTCCGTTTCCAGCCAACTGGAGTTTGCCAAGATGTTTTGAGAACTCTGAGATGTTTGGGGGTAATCCACATATTTCTCAGGGTACCTGGCCATGGGATGCTGCATCCAGGATGGTGCTGCTCTGGTCCTTCTCACCTGTCATTTCCCCCCCTCCCAATTTCCTATTGTACACACAAAGCTTTATTGCCCTTTCATCTTTTCCCCTTTCATCCTTCCTCCCCCTTCTTCTTTTGATGGCAGAATGCTTGTGAGGCCCCAGCTGAAGCAGGCAAAGCTAACAATACCATTATTTGATATTCATTTGTTATATTTATATTCCATCCTTTCTCTAGGAGTTCCAGATTGATTCACAATACTGTTACAAAGCCTAAAATGATGCTTTCATTTTCACTATTTATTTATTATTTCATTTATATCCCACTTTTTTTCTAAATAACTCAATGGGGGTGAATATACCTAATATTCCTTCCTCCTCTTATCTTCTCCACATCAACCTTATGAGTGGGTTGGCCTGAAAGAGAGTGACTAACTTCAAGTCACACAAGATGAGTAAAATTATAAAGATGAGTTAATAATAGAATCAGAATTGGAACAGATTGGTAAGAGAATGTAATATTGACAAAGAGTAGGGAAACATTTTGGGGCATTTTTCTGACACCACTCTTAGAGCCTTATCTTTTATAAATGAAATGCTTTGAATATTTAAAAAGAAATAGATAATTTTAAACACAATTTTATACTTATGTAGAACTAAGATACTTTTTCAATTACATCTATAAAGATACTTCTTCAAGTACATTACTATAATGTAAATGGTTTATGAAGTCTAAGTCATTAAGAACCTTTAAATGTGTGACTTAAGGAATTAATCTTGTTAGAAGATTAATCAATCCACTAATATTAGAATATTTAAACTTTGTTGACACTAAGAGTACTCCAAACAAAAAAAAATCATCATTAGAAATATTTAAAACAAAAGCCCTCTTCCTTTGCCCCAAACAAAAGAAAAACATTGTTTCATTCCCCCAAGAAATTATTCCATTTTTAAAGAAAACTAGAATTTCCACAAATTGCATTTAACAGTTCCAAGTGTTCTTCATTTGACCACTTGAAAATCAAATTTCTCTAAGATTATAAATATAGCTTCTTAAATCTTTGTTATTACATACTGTGTAAGGGGAAAGGGGTCCAATCTTGTGGCCGTAGCGGCGAATGGCCTCTCTGATGTGGGCAGGCTGGATGGCATCACTCTGGGCTTCTACACCACAAGCTGCAGTACTCTGCAGCAGCAACAACAACAACAACAAAGCACGTTCATTGTTATTAAATTGAAAACTTATAACAAGCACACACTGTGAATGAAGAAAATTGACCTTTGTAGAATTTACTTATTTCTTTTGAAGAGACAATCATTGTCACACAGTTCACATTAAAATAAAACTCAAACATTCATGAACAGAGCAAAAAGGAAATTTATTCTAGAAGATAAAGTTTACTTGTACAACACATGAAGAACAGGAAGAAGAATAGCATTTTCGTTGTGTGGAGAGGCTACTTTGGAAGCAAGCAACATTAACACCATAAGTCCATAAATAACAGAGAACTTAGAGGAACTTCTGTGCACCAACTGGGGCTTAGAATGGAATCACCAGATTGACCACTTCTGATATTACTAAAAGCCCTGCTTTTTCTTTAGGTGAAGAAAGCGAATGCATTTGTTATTTGGTATGATTAACCCTAGTAAAATTCTTCTGATTTTCCTAAAGGGTAATTTTTTATTTCCCCTACATGCAGTTTTGTAAAAATTGTAGTTGTGAAGCTTTCTTAGTAAGTCAAATGATACCAGTGCTTAGATTTGCCACTTTACTCATATTATGTGATTCAGTCTGTAAAGTGGATTTTTTATACTTTCAATGATTGCTGAAATGCCCAATGTGTGATGAGGAATCTATCTCTTCTGATACTGATAGGGATTCCTAGCTAAATGAGATCTTAAATGAAATCTCAATTTATTTTAAGCTTGCAAGTCTCTCTCTCTCTCTCTCTCTCTCTCTCTCTCTCTCTCTCTCTCTCTCTATCTATCTATCTATCTATCTCTGTATGTCTGTGTTTATGTTTGCATCTTTAGTATAACATTATGTACCTATGGTGCCAAGCTGACATAAATTTATTCTGCTCAAAGATTACTAACAATTTCCAGAAGAGGCTTTATTGAGCAATATTTACTATCTCACACGACTTATTTTTATTCTGGGATTTACATAGTACAGGTAATCCTCAATTTACAACAGTTTGTTAAAGACTGTCCAAAGTTACAACAGCACTGGAATAAGTGACTTACGACCATTTTTTACACTTAAGACCATTACGGCATTCCCCAAGTCAAGTGATCAAAATTCATACGCCTGGCAACTGTCTCACATTTATGACGGTTGCAGTGTCCCAGGGGCAGCTGTCTCACTTAGCAACAGAAATTTTGGGCTCAATTTTGGTCATAAGTTGAGGACTATTTTATTTTCAAGCAAAATTTTTCTCAGGCTAGAAATTTTGATAAATCATTTCTAACAATCCAAAACTTATTTCATTTTTTATCTCATTTATTTATTTATTTATCCCTTCATGTATTATTTTGTTATTATTTTAAATCTCAATTTTGTAATATTATACATTCTACTGAATGATAAAACAACAATCAATGTTACTACTAGGACCCCTAGTAGACAAGGAGCTTCTGAACAATTACTTTGATATTTAAGGTTTATTTCTTTAATTCTTCATCTAAGGCTTTCAGAGACTTTTCAAAACAATATACTTTAATATAAAAAGGAAGAGTTGTTTTATATCTGAATGACTAAAGTTTTTTTAATGGATTTGGGGAAAAAAATACTCTATCCAAAATGAATCTTCATGGGAAAATTATTCCAAAACTGCACCACAATAAGGAAACTGATCTCGTTGAAGCACAGTCACAAGACCATCTAAAATGGTTGTCAGATCTCATATAAACAAATCTTAACTTCCAAAGCAACTTAGATTTCCATATGCGTTCCATTCCAAATTCCATTTCACAGCATACATTTGGCAGCACAAAAATTAAACATGTGCCGGGGATTAATTGATTGATTAATTTTTAATCAAATGCCAACAACTTTGGGTAGCTTACAAACAGTTAAAAACAGTAAAAACACAAATATTAAAAGACAATCATCGTAAGGAGGAAAATAAGAAATATACATATTATACTTTTCACTGTGATTAGCTGAGCCTCACACAATCCTGATTCATATTCCATCTTTCTATTCAGACTAGATTCCCAAGACAACTTATAGCTTAAAAGAATCACCCACAAAGAGACAAGATAAAAATCATTATACTTCAATGGGACAGGAATAGCTGTTCTACCTGGATCCAAAGGAGAAATGTGCTTCAGAGGGACACTGGTGTGCTAGCTATACCTGTCAGTGCCTCCTTAAAGAAAGCAGAAATTGAGGGCAAAGAGTACCTCATAAGCAGGTCATCTTCAGAAGGACCTTTCCTTTGGATCTTATGATTCTGTCAGATTCTAAAGAGTTACTTCCAAGCATCACACTGAGAGTCTGACTAGAATGGCCTACAAACCTCTTCAATACTATGTTTATTAGATGTCACAGGAAAGACCTGCAGACTGAACAGATAAGATGAGCTTTTCCAGAGGACAGCATACACATTTGGAGTAGCTGAAATATTTCACTGTCTCTATTGTTAGTTTTAACGTACTTTTTTCTTCTTTCGCTGTTTGACTTTGGAGGATTCTTGTCCAGTGCTGCCATTCCCCATTGTCCCAGGCTGAATTTTCCCAAGATACTGTGGGCCCGTTGATGGCAGAGTGGGGGTTGGTGGTGGAGTATTATCAGGTGAGCCTGGATTACTCTTCATACTTGCAGTCTGCCCTAAAACATGCATCTAAAAAAGACAAAATTACTCCTTTGCCTATTCTTCTCTGATACCAACACCAATCAGTTCCATGTTTTAATGGTAGAAGATGAACGTGGTCAGAAATTGGGACATTGCAACAATTGCAACTTTTCTTTCTGGAGCTGTTCCTTCCCAGCCCTCTCCACCTCCAAAATCCAGAAGGATCCAGTATAGACAGTTTCTGTTCTTCATAGAGATTGTACTTGATTAAGCTTCATTGCTGAATCTAAACTTATTATAATATATATCCTAAATCATACAATTTGAATCCAAATCTTTCTGATAGAAGTCTAATAGTGCTCAATACATGCAACAGTATTCCATAAATATACTTTCAGAAGATGTTCACTGTCCCTGCCACCATTTCTAAGATAAAATGGCAACCATAAGTAGATGCAAGCATCGATGGATTCTAGTAGGCTATTGTATTATAGCAAATAACAATTTCACTGTTTTTGAAAAATAATAATAATATTCGGAACAGCTTACATCCTGCAATGATACCTTTAATACCACAAAACATCAACATCTGCCTATTCCAGGTCCTTGGGAAGGACTCAATAGTTGGACAAAAATGCCAAATCAAGTTTGAACATCTGATTGACTACGTAATAAACCACAATTTTATATAAAAAAACCTGCTTTGGAATTATCTATATATAGAGAAATTGCCTTAATAATTCTTAGGTCCTTGGTTAGGATCTCAATTATTACATTTTCACCAGTCTTTGACTGTAAATCTAATTATAGATTACCCATATAACAATAATAGCTTTAAAAGAAGGAGAATAGTTTGATTTTTCTTCTTAATTTATTGCAGGGGTGTCAAACTGCCAGCCCCACGCAGAAGCTGCGCCCACCCCAGCTCCGACAATGCGAAAAAAGTCACAATATGTTAGGACATGTCACATGATGTGGCGAGTTTGACACCCATGATCTATTGCAAGGAAGAAAGCCCAAGTGATTCCTTTGCAACAAAATAAGTAAGGTACATCAATTTGGAAACTAAAGTTGTGAATGCTAATACAAGTTTCATTACAAAGTTATAGTAACAGAATCTTACAAGAGTAAATGTGCTCTCTCTCTCCCTCCCCCCCCCAGTATATCTATTTGAGAACTAGAGGTCAGGTCGAAGATGCTTTCTCAGGTTACATGGCTACAGTTCTTCCTTCTGTTCCTAAAGGTTATTTCTGCTGCCCTATACAGTAGGCATTGGCCACACATAGCCAATATATATATATTTGTTTTCGTAGATTTTCACGGGTATAGGTATGCAGGTCTTGGCGTATTCGGGTCTTTTCTCGTGTAAGATTGAGAGTACCTTCGTGACGTTTCGACGAGGTCCCACTTGTCATCTTCAGACTGGGGTCTTCGGCTTTGTGCTTGTGCGAGCAAAGTGTGATCGGAGCTGCCGTCTCTCTATAAATATTGGTGGGTGTGTGTGGAGTGCTGGCTTAGTTGCTGTAGGTGGGTTGGTTGGCTGTGTTGGAGTTATTGTTTGTGGATTGTTCAGCTGTTTCGTAACATCCTGAGTAGCTGAGGTGCTGGCTGTGTGCCCATTAGTCTTTTGTGTTGTGGTAATGGGCTGTGTGGTAACATCCTGAGATCTAGTGTAGTGATATCCTGAGTTCTGTGTTGCAACATCCTGGGTGGTTGGCTGTGTAGTAACATCCTGAGCTTTAGCGTTATAACCTCCTGAGTTCTGTGATATGATGTCCAGAGCAGAAGGCTGTGATGTAACATGTCGGGCTTTGGTTTGGCTCTGAGTTTGCGGTCTAGCTCTCTGTTCATGGTGTGTGTCCGTCTGCTTTGTGTGTGGGTCGGAGGGAGGTGCAGCAGCTGGTGATGTCGTTGTGGTTTGGCTTCTGGATGGTGATTGCATTTCGTCTGAGGGATGGGTTTGGGCTTAGGTTTGGGTCTGGTGAGGGTGAATGGTGGTGGTGTACTGTGTTGTTCTGGGTCCGGAGTCAGTTTTTGTGGCTAAGACTCGTTTGTTGATTAGGGCTAGTTTCCAGATGTCTGGTAGGCGGGAGGTATCGTCACATTTATTCATGTTGTGGGGTGTTTTTCTATTTCGATGGCTTCCATAATTATTCTCTTGTTGTGGTGTTCAGTTTTGGAGATTAGTTTGGTTCCTTCAAAATCAATTTCATGTCCTGTAGCTTTAAGGTGCTAGAAGAGGGAGGAAGTTTTTTCTTCTTTTCTGACTGCGTTCTTGTGTTCTGGGATGCGTGCATTTATTCTCCTATTAGTTTGTCCAATGAACTCAGAACTCAGGATATCACTACACTAGATCTCAGGATGTTACCACACAGCCCATTACCCAGGTCGTTACAACACAAAAGACTAATGGGCACACAGCCAGCACCTCAGCTACTCAGGATGTTATGAAACAGCTCCACAAACAATAACTCCAACACAGCCAACCAACCCACCTACAGCAACTAAGCCAGCACTCCACACACCCCCACCAATATTTATAGAGAGACGGCAGCTCCGATCACACTTTGCTCGCACAAGCATGAAGCCGAAGACCCCAGCCTGAAGATGACGAGTGGGACCTCGTCGAAACGTCACCAAGATACTCTCAATCTTACATGGGAAAAGACCCGAATATGCCAAGACCTGCATACCTGTACCCGTAAAAATCTACAAACACACACACACACACACACACACACACACACACACACACACACACACACACATATTCATTTACATGGAGAAAGGTGTGGTGGAGAAAGGTGTGTTCAGGAAAAGTGATTTAGACTCCTTAGAGCAGAAATGTCAAACTTGTGACGTCACGTGACATCACGTGACATCACGTGACATATTGGGACGGTTTTGCCATTGCCGGCAATGGGGTGGGCGCGGCTTCCTGATTACGCGTCTAGCCCGTGAGTCAGTAGTTTGACACCCCTGCCTTAGACCCTCCATAAATATTCCTATAATTAAAATTTAAGTCCTTGTAATGATACATAAAGTAAATCAATAAATTACATACTGTAAACTATAAACTTTAAGTCATATTTACCTCAGAATGGTGATGCTGAATAAAAGCAGCAGATATTGCATGACTAAAAGGGTCACCAGCTTTCGGTATTATGTCCTGCTTGACCAAAAGGGCCAGGTCCACCAGCTAAGGAAAAATGACAATTTAAAAATGAACAGATGGAAATCTTAAATTGATTGGCTATTAATAGGCAAAGGATGCACAGAAAAAGGAGAAAGAGTTTTTAATGTTTTGATATTAGTCCTGGGAAGTATTACAAGCATGTGTTTTTTTGCCTTTCTATGAGGAGAGTATCTTTCCATATTAAGTTGCAATACAGACATGAAAAATGTTCGAAGCACCCACCTTCCAGCATATGGAACAGCCAGTTTGGGGTAGTTCATTATCTAGACTAAAACATACATAGACCTGAAGAAAGCATGTTTTCAGCAGAACTATTTCAAGGTTGGAAGAACAGGAGAAAAACAAGGCCAATTAGTGGAGGTAACACATTTGAAAAACAGGAGGAGGAATGGGCAAGGTGGTTGGATATTCCATCCTTGAATTTAAAGAAATGGCATCTGGAGACTAGGAGAGGTGGGGAGCAAAAGTGTAGGGGAGATCTTCCTAGGCTGATTGAGTCCATTGTAGCTGCTGTCCATGATTGCCCTCAAATTCAAATGTAACTAAATGGCATCTTCCCCCAAAATTATCAGAAATATAAACATTTTTTCATTTACCTGTGCTACTGTCTCATATGCTAAATAAGCCAGCATTTCCATAGCACTTGCATTTGGTTTTATTTCCATGCTACTACAGTCCAACCAGTCTCGAAATTTGGAGGCTTTTTTGGCTGTATTGAAAAAAAATATATTAACCTTGTATCTTCTGATTTCTACTGTTTCTTATGAAGAGTAAGACCTTGTAACCTCTAATATAAGTGATGGAATCCAACATTCAGGAATCTGAATTCCTTTACAAGTAAGTAAGTAAGTAAGTAAGTAAGTAAGTAAGTAAGTAATTATTTGTACAAATAACTTAAGGCAGCAATCATATCTAACACACCTTTCTCCTCCTATTTTCCCTACAACAAACACTCTGTGAAGTGGGTTGGGCTGAGAATGACTGGCCTAAGGTCATCCAGCTGACTTTCATGGCTTAAGGCACAACTTAAACAAACTATATAGTGAGGGAGCCCATCATCACATACTATGCTGAGCACATTGGGCTACAAGCAGTGGTGGGATTCAGCCAGTTCGGCAGAACCGGTAGCTAATGTTTTGTTGCCCAGTCCCAGGACGGACTTCCGGAAGAGGCATCCACACAGAAAGCCGGTTGTTTACATATTTGAATCCCACCACTGGCTACAAGCATATTCCACAATTTTCGGTCCACAGCTACAGTCTCTGCATCCTTCCATTTAAGGCTGATGTTTTCAAATCTTCCTGAAATATTTGGCACCAGGTTATCTTTGGCCTTCCTCTTTTTCTCTACCATCAGATGATATCCAATTGATTGTGGTTTTTGCTGGACATTGCTCACTCATGCCGAGTACATGTCCAGCAAACAGCATTCTTCATTCTGTCACTATCTCACATGTGATATGAAGAATCCTTCTGAGACAACATTGTTGGAAGACACTGATCTTATGAATAATTCGTGTTGTAGTTTTCCAGAACTCACTGGCACAGATGGCAGTCAGTATGACAATGGAATTAAATCATCTGATCTTTGTTGCTAGCAAAGAAGCTAGCAGTCTTAGGCAGCCAAACAACTACTTTGTTAACATTGTAATCTCCTGACTAAGGTACCATTTCTTTATGCTAAATAAATAATAATGGTACTTTTGGATAAATGGATATAATATTAAAAGAAATGAAAGCTTCCATATACTTTAAAATATATTTTAAATATGTTTCTTTTCTTTTTTAAAAAGTCATTCTGGCATTTTGAAAAAAGAAGTAGAAACACCATTTACAAAGCATACTGATAAGATCCTACATTTAGATAGTTTTCAATTCAGAGGGCAGGTGATGTGAGCCTCCTACATTGATTACAAGTGAATAAGGAATCCAATGTTCCATATTGTCACTTATTTCTGAATATGATTTCTATCAATATCTGACCAATATTTTGATTTATCTCAAAATACATTTTATTCTTTAACCAAGTCTGTGCAATATTTCTCAAATAAGCAGCTTTGAATCAGATATTTCAAAAACATCTATTATTTTTATACTATGTTTTCATTTCTGTGTAGATGAATTCTACTAACTACAGTATCTCAGAAAACAATATGTATTTATATAAGTGTTTTTCCAAGTTCAAATTTTCAATACTATTGTCTGAAAGATATATATAATCAAGGTGTACCCTTGATTATAATTAAAAGGTGTAAAATGTGAGGTTATCACATTTTAAGATGAAGAGTTTTCACTTAACTATTTACAGATGCTTAAAACGAACTCAGAAAAAAGCAATGGAACAGCAAAAACACTACTTACACACCAAATGTCTCTGCTATTTGACATTTACAGAAAACACAATTGTGGATGTGTCATTTATTCTTCACATTGTGATCCTCAAGTGAACCAGTCATTTCTCCAAATCAAAAGCTTGTTATGGAAAACTAGATAAGTGCCTTTCATTTAACATTTTTGTGCTTTTGTGCTTTCATTTATCACTGGAACACACTGTGCTATTTTGTTGAGGTTTTTTTTATGACTCCTTCATTGTGCTCTTTTTGTCTCTTTGACCTCTAAGCTCTTAGCATTATTTGTAGTTATTTTTATTATTGTTTTATGACAAAGACCCTTAATAAAGTAATAGATAATTAAAGTTATGTTGTTTGAAAATGTAGGTGCATATGGAGTAACTTTAGCAGATTAATTAATTAATTAAAAACTGGCTATAGCTTTAAAATTAATTCTAATATCAGTTGTGCTTTTCCTTACTCCTACTGATGGCATTAACTTGCCATCCCATTCTGCTTTTTTTTAAGCAGATCCTTGAATGAGCATGCCTTTATTATTTCTCTATTTTTTCCATAGGGGGAAAATAGGGGGAAAACTCTCAAAATTATTTCAGGATTTTGAGAGCATTAAATATCAAATGGCTAGCCCAGGGGTAGGCAACCTAGGCTCTTTTATGACTCATGGACTTCAACTCATGGAAGTCCATGAGTCATAAAAGAGCCGAGGTTGCCTACCCATGGGCTAGACAATCACTATCATGTGTAATCAATTTATACAATCATACTGCAGGTGAACATGTACAAGAAGTTAATACAAGGAATCTTATGAAGGGACTCCCAAATTCATCTATAATGAGTCACATTGAACTTGAATGTACTCTCATGTCCTTTTTAACAGCCTTGTGTTTTGATTATGTGCATTTAGTAGGCTTACCAGATAAATTAAAAGCCTCTGGGGGAGGGGAATACAAAGAAATGGTGCTATTATTGCAAGATAGGTGCAAATGGCATTTTTTTTTCTTGTCCTGACACTAAATGTATTTGCTTTTTAACCACTACCAACTTGCAAAATACTAGTTATGAGAGTAAAAAGTTTACACAATACTTACAAAAGCTCAACTGACGGCTTTCACTGAATTCTGCATATTGTGCTGAGTCCATCACTCGTGCTTGTCTTTCTGCTCTCTGGAAGATGATGTAAACTAATAAATGCATACATCACCCAAAACACTAATACAACTCTTTCTCCATGAATCACAGGATGATGTGATCCACACACAAACGCACACACGCACACACACACACAAATAGCAGGGCGCAGAAGCAGCTGGCTATATAAGTAAACTCCCGGATCCTCTACTTTCAACTGCTGACAAAAGCTAAGTGGTTTTACATTAAACAGTCTTGCTTGTATTTTCATCCTGGTGTTCGATTCTTCTTTTGTTTTTCTAACACACACACACACACACACACACACACACACCAATGCATTATTGTTATTTATCAACAATAAAAACATTTCTCTTTGCCTATTTTTTATTTCTATAGTCTGGAACAAAGTAAGAAAACAGAGCAGTGCTCAAATGCAGGATAAAATAATATGTGACTATCTTAAAATAGAACCTGGAGTCATCATGATAAATTAATGAAAAAAATATTCCTCTTGCTACATATATTAGTCTCTCCTAATTCTTTTGGAAACTTTTTCCCCTATAGCTGGTGCTGTTTTCCACTTTAATTTATTCTTTTTATTCTCATTCTACTCAACATGATTTGCCGATGCTGCCATTCAGTTTAATTCAATATATTTAGAACATATATGGTTCCTTTTTTGTAGATGCTATGACATTACCCTTTCAAATGCAACTTCAAAACAATGCAAATTAATACTGTTAACCAGATTAAACCAAGCCAATAAAGGAGCAAGGAGGAAGATATTGCTGGTCAGAAGAACACTGCTCCCAGACCAGCTAATTGAACACGAAATGAATAGCTTTAACTCAGCACTAACTACATTCCACTTGGTTAAGATCAACAACGACAGATAATAATAATAATGAAAGATTAGTCTGATGTTCATTAAAACTTGGCAGAAATCCTATAGCTTTGAAAAGTCAAACTAGAATCTATTAATTTTGCTTCATTTTTTTCCTAGACAAAAAAATACTGAAATAAGTTATATTGTACAATATGTATTCAGAGGCAGTATTTATTTATTCCAAGCAGCTAAATAAATAATTTATGTGGCATAAAGTCAATTGCATTGCCCACCACCTACACCCTCCCCCCCATTTCTGCCCTTTTGGTTTCCCTCCACAGCCTGAAGAGACCACTGTATTCCACTGCCATGACCTCCAGTGGACCTTCCTCTCTGTTCTCCTAAGGGCAATCATTGTGTTCTACCTCACCTCCACTGGGCTCACCACCACCACTGAGGAAAGCTGCCTCAAGACCTGTGGTGCAGCAAGCAACCACAGAGTTGCTTTACCATAAGACCAAGGGAACAGCAGGCAACATGTCTCCTGTCCTAAGATTTCCAGTATGTACACAAGCCTGAAGAAATATAAATTCATTCTCAAAAAGAAATTCTCCTAGACTATAGGACTGGAAATTTTATAACTCAAAAGCCATGAAGAACATTCAGTATAAAACAAATGGGAACTGCTGTTATAATCACAAAAGTCAAAATGGTACCTGAGCTAATAAAACATTGCTAAACTGTAAATTTGTTGCAAATCCTAGAGGCCCTAAAACTTATTTCATATTTGTAATTTAGAGGATTATGTGCTCTAAAATCCACATAAAATTTAATTAGAAAATGAAGCAGAAAGCACACAATGATAATAATCTTAAAAATTAGACAGTCTGAATCTTCAGCTGAAGCTAATAAAACTTTTGTAACACACTGATGGAAGCTGGGATAAGCTGCAGATTTGAAAATAAAAGAACAGATACCGAAGCAATTCTTGTTATCTTATTTAATCTTGTATTTTAAAGCACACCCTTCTCTTCTATCCATTAATATGAATGAGTATGTAAGGAGTAGCAGTTTTTGATATTATACTAAACTTTATTGTGAATTTCCAACTTAACACGAAACTCTAATTTATACCAAAGGCAGGATAAGATTTCAATCTTAAAAGGGCCTCAAGAGGAAGTAATAATCACATATTTTCTTCTTTCCCCTTCTACCTGAAAAAAATGTTGTTTGTGGAATTTTCTATAAACTACTCTTGAGCTAATCTATGAAGAATGTAGCAAGTTGCACAGAGACCTATTCAACCAGATGAAAGTTATATAAATGAGAGGCTCATTCTGCAGAAACTTATTTTCCTTAATTTTCCTTGTCATTCAGTATCCTCTTTGGATTCATGAAATTATTTAGAATGCTGAGGTTGCCATGGAAATGTAGCTATTTCCCAACAGAAGATTATTCTTTACATTAATGTAAAGTGTGTGCATATGTGTGTTCACAATATATATGTATTTTGTTTATAATATATGTTAATAATATATGTTTTACATAGTATAATATTACATATTATATAATAATATATTTTATAATAGCAAAATAGTAAATGCTTTTTTCTTCCATTTTATGAATTTTGAAAAACAAAATATTGGGGCAGCTAATCCTTTTGAATGTTTATTTAAACCTGGTATGGTTATAGTTTTCCATAAATCTAAAATAGGAACTACAACCTGCTGTATAAATCAACATTCTCTTTTAAGTATTGGATACTCATATAATCTTTATTATAAATAATGACTGTTTGACTGTTACAAGCATGCATAAACATGGGAATACAATCATGTTTCAGAGAGAGCCAAGAAATGCTTCATTATTTCTTCTGCTATAATGTTCTTGAGACCTTATTCTATTCACTCCAAAGGCAAAGGATATATACTTTTAAATTCAAACATTGGTGCCTTACATATTTGGATGGATGCAAAAATTAAGATTGCACAACATTCAATTCTTTGGGAATATCCTACTAAATTTAATAGGTTTCACTTCTTGATTTTTTATGTATATGGTTTTTATTAAGAATGTTAAGTATACCAGTAAAATTTAATACGAACTAAACTTAAAGAAAAGATAACAGGAAAGAGTAAAAAGTGCAAGAAAAAGATAAGACAGAAGGAAGAGAAAGGTAAAAATATAAGAGAAAAGAAATATATAAAGAAGTAGGCTCAACCTTCATCAAAACATATTAATAATTTTAGTGACTCTTTACCCTAAAGTTACAAACATTTACCTCTTTATCCCATATCCCATTTGTTATCTATAACAAATCCATAATGTCAGCAAAAGTCCACAAAGCGTAAGCAGAAATAACTAACATACCTTTTTTTAACCCTAATCAGAACCAACTTTATAGTCTTCAATAGGCTAAATTCATAAACTACACATTGATTGTTTTCAACTCCTAACAACCACTTAGAATTTTTCCCATGATGATCTATTCCTAACTTTCAAGCCTCCCAATAGTACAGTCATCACCACTGTAACTGAGTCCACCCACCTTGCTGTTGGCCATCCTCATCTCTTTTCTTCCATCTTTCCCAGCATCAGAGTCTTTTTCCACCAAATTTACAGTTCCTCCTTCCTAATGGCTACAGAGCATTTTCTTGAAGAGCTTTGATGTTCTATTACTGTTAAACTACTCTATTTTCCATTATTTTTCCTCTTCTAAAATTAAGTCAAACTGACCTAAACGTAAACCAAGTCCTTGAATAATATGTATGTATTAACTAAGTAGCATATGAATGATGTTTATTCATATAAATTCTTTTTTGTTTCAATTAAGAATTAAAGTCTTAACTACAAATGATTACCAAAATTAAAACAAAAGACCTACATCAAGAACTCGATCAAGTTAAGGACTTCCAGTTTTGTGAAATAGTGTGCAGTTGCAGGATAGTGAAGCTCTGCTCCCTGCAGCCAGTTTCGTCCTGCCAGGGGGACTCTAAATGGGTCCGAAGTTGCCCCGAAGAGGTGACCGTGAAGGAGGAGCGCTCTGTTGATCACTAAACAACAATGGTCATTTTGTTTGATCCGGGGGAAGCCCTCCGACCCGACAGGAGAAAGGCTAGTGTGACATCGGCATCTAGCCCAAGCTACCTGCAGCCAAAGTCCAGGAGCAACAAGAACATCGGTGAACAGTGTACTTTGAAATGGTGAGAGTATCAATCTTCTCTCTTCTATCTTCTATCTCAATCCTTGGGAAAGACCCCCAAAGCAAGAAAACCTCCGAAAGTGAAGGGAGAGGACTATATCCCCATTCCCTTCATAGACGGAAGTGGCGAATTAATACTAAGGGCGAAAGAAATAGACTGAAATTAAATTTAAAATACTACAATTTCGACAAATCTAGAAACTAAAAAAAAACTACTAAGACTACACCTAAAAGGGTTTTAATGAAATTATAAAAAATATATAACAATAATAATTGTTTATCTGAAAAAATTGGAAAAGGAACATCTAGTGGAGAATCAGAGCACAGAACACTAACAATAATGATTCAGAAACTGGCAGGACACCCAGAAACAAAGAATAATCTGTTCCCTTAAATTTTAAATAACCCTGAAGATAGCTAGAAACAAAAAAAGAGCTGGCCCAGCCATAAGATTAAAAAGTGTCTGAAAGAAAAATACCGGGACTGTTGACTAAATTTAAGAATTGGTTAAAGAAAAATAAAAACTTTGGCTCTTCGCTAATCTTTTAGAGGAGAATCTACAGGAAGGACTTAAGGTGGCTTAACATACTGAATTACAATTTTGACTGATTGATAATTAACCCCGAACCAAAATATTGATGAAAGACTATTTGAAGGGGGGAGACAACATGGATATCGTACACTTATCAAAAAATGACAGGACACCACACTCAATATTCACTCCTGAAGGATTCAGCCTGGAATATCAAAGACTTCCAGAAGCAACATTTCAAGGCAAGACAAACACTTTCCAAGAGGAAATGTACGCAATGTTACATCAGATACAACTGACAATAGATTTAAAGCACAAGGAAATCCAAAACAAATTTGATGACATAAATAAACACATCTCTAATCTAAATCTACAATCAAAAAACACCCAGAAAATGATGGTGAGTGAACAAACAAATCAGATAACAGAACACAAATTAGAAGAACATGATCATATCGATGAAGCTACAAATG